TCGGCCCGCGCCCCGCCCTCAAGGGGCGCGCCCCGCCTCTCAGCGCGTGCGCAGAGCTCTCCGCGTTCCCAGGCGGCCGGGAGGCGGACTGGGGGCGGGGAATGGGCGCGGGCAGACTAAGCCAATGAGAGTGAAGAGGTGGGGAGAGGACGGTGGGTTGGGCTGTCACGTTCCTGTGAGAGTAACTTTCCGGTTAATTGGTGGCTACTCTGTCTGCCCTGCTGCCTGGCCGCTGACTCGGACAAGCCCCTGTTAGCTTAGCTCCCCGGGCCTACGGGACCCTTGAGTGGCCAATCGGACGATTAGTGCGCAGTGTGTGTCTGAGGGTAGGGGACGGAGTATAGGAATACAATCCTGCAGCGCTGACACTGGGGGAAGGGAAAAATCCCAAAGGGCCTCCTAGAAGAGAGACGTAAACTGAATCCTGAAAAATCAGTGAGGCTTTACTAAGAGAGGCTAGAGCCAGCCCTTTTAGAATGAAACATGGACCTCTTCAAGTTGTGATGAAGAGCGGCTATTCCTAGGGTATAGGAAGCTAGTGCTGGGCACAGTGGGGTGAGTGGAAAGTGATACTTAAGACCTTGGTGGAGTAGTGCCTTGCTCTAGAGGAGCTCACAGACTCGTTTATATTTAGTTCTAGCAAGAATAAGGCAGGTGAGCTGAAGAGATGGTTCGGTTAAGAAGACTGGCTGCTCTTCCAAAGGACAAGGGTTCAATTCCCAGAACCTACGTGGAAGCTAACGACCTTCTGAAACTCCAGTTTCAGGGCATTTCACCTCCTGAACAATGCACACATGTGGTACACAACCATACATGTAGGCAAAACACCATACACATAGTTTTTGAAGGAAGAAGGGAGTGTGGGATCAAGATGGCTCGGTGGACAAAGGAGCTTGCTGCCACACTTGACACCCTGAGTTCCGCCTGTTAAACATACTTAGGTGGAAAGAGAGAACTGACTCCTACAAGTTGTTCTATAACCTCAACACTCTCTCCATCTTACACGTCTGCACGCGTGCATGTGTGTGCGTGTGTGCGTATGTGCACACACAAAATTTTTTTGAAGATGGACTGAAGGGATGGCTCAGTGAGTAAAAGCACTTGCTGTGCAATCTTAAAGAAATGAATTCAGATCCCAGCACACACACAGAAAAAGAAAAAGCAACTTGAGCCTGCAACCCCAGCACTGTCGGGACAGGAGACAAAAGAATCTCTGGAGTTTACAGGGTGCCTTCACTTCTCAGTGAGAGTATGCCATTCCTGGTGCGATACTGGGGATTAAAGCTAGGGCTCCATGCAGAGGCCAACAACTCAGCTACTTTTCCAGCCTGTCTTTATATTCCCATGCCTTAGTTATGCAGCACTCCTTCAGCTACATTGTCATTTTTCATGATCTCATTTACTGCCCATCATCTGTGGTCTGAAAATCTACCCCCCTCAATAAACTTTCCAACACTTTAAATCATGCTCTACTTGAAGTAAAGATTATCTCATGCCATTCTGTTCATCCTAGCTGAGACAGAACATGAATCACCCCATGCTCAGAGTATCCATATGGTATACACCAACCACCCATTAGTCACTTGGCAGCCATCTTGGTTATCAGGTAGGCTGTTGTGGTGTCACGGTACTTGTGTTTAGGTTAGATTTATTTTGCTTAATTTATTTATTTAATAAATTAATAACATTCATTGTTAGTTCCCTTTATGACTCCCTTACGCTGCCTACATCATAAACTATTTTGGATATGTGTTTATAGAGGGGAAAACAGAATATACAAAGTCGGATGTTTATCTTAGGTTTCAAGCATCTGGTAGGCATCTTGAAATATATTCCCTAAGGATAGAAGGGGGGACTAATGTCTGTCTTAATATCTGATAGAGTGCTTCTCCCCCACCATTCACTGTTGGTTTTTTCCAATGTTTCTTTTGAAATTCACAATAGAAATCATTGGTGGTGAGCCCACAGCTAACATCCTGATTTTATGTTCCCTAGTCTACAAAGAGTCAAGGAGCCATGGAAAGGGGCAGAAATATGATGGGGAGGAGGTAAAGTCATGGGGTGTTGTGGGATATTTCTTTAAACTGTGTGAAGATGTGTCCCTGTAGCTGGTTTAATAAAAAGTTGAATGACCAATAGATAGGCAGGAGAGGTTAGGCAGGACTTCCGGACAGAGAGAGGAGAACTCAGAGGGTTAGAACCAGAGGCACACGAGAGATGCCAGCAAGATGCAAAGCAAGTTAGAAATACAGAATGGAAGAGAGGAAAAAGTCACATGACAAAACATAGATTAATCAAAGCAGGTTGGTTTACGTTATGAGCGCTAGCACAGAACAAGTCTAATCTAAAGGCAAAGCTTTCGTAATTAATAATAATTTCTGTGTCATTATTTGGGGCTGGCGGTCCCACAAAAGAAAGTCCGACAGAAAGGCTTGCTACAGCAGGGACCAAAGCCCATGCGGTTTACATTCGCTGTTAATTTCTGAAATCCCCCCCCACACTTTCCCTTTGATCCTTGATCAATCATGAAAAGTAAATATTACTTATGTACCTGACCCTGCTCCAGCTAAGAAGGATTGCATATTTGGACTCTATCATTGTGTCATCTGCAATTTGGTGACACTCTTTAACAAACTACATAGAAATGGCTTTGATGCTGGCTATTAGAAGCGGGGTTGGTGAAGAGGAAATGCTCAATTTGATGACTGCAGTCTGTAAGTGTTCTAATGACCATCCTGGAATGGAAGTAGCCTGGCTGCTAGGACACCTGAGTCTCAGTTCTGTCTCCACCAGTGACACAAGAAAGAGCAGTGCTCAGGGTGCTGGGTTTCTTTCCTGCCCTGCTTTTACACCTGACTCAGTGTGCACTCACAGCAGACCTGGGGCATGCAGAGAAGATGTTGCAGTGTTACTGTTTGACCAGTCATGATACTGAGGCTCAGAGAAGTTATGTGATCTAGGGAAGAGCACACTAAGGGAAACTAGACAGCTCTGCCTCATTTATTCATTTACTAGTAACATGAGGCCGAGCACAAGGATTTTGAAGCTTACTGCCTAGACTTTAGTCAGGGCTCAGTTACTTCCCACCCCCCTATTTAGTGTCACTCTGTCCTTCAATGTCTCTAAGCTAGAACCAGTAATAGTATTTAGAGAACTGGGGAGGTGGCTCCATAGGTAAAGAGCTTGCTGTGCCCAGTGAGGATCTGGCTTTGAATCCCCATGACCAATGTAAAAGCTGGGTGCGTGGCACATGCCCATAACCTACTGCCAGGGAGAGGGCAGAGGTAGGTGTAGGCAGATTGTTCTGTCCTGCCTGCCAGTTCCCAAATAACCACACAAAAAACTTCTTATTAATTATGAAAGCACAGCCGATAGCTTAGGCTTCTTCTTAACTAGCTCTTATAACTTAATTTGACCCATATTTTTTATTAACCAACATTCTGCCATGTGACTTTTACCTCTATCCCATTTTGTGTGTCCAACTCATTCCCCGTCTGCTTACCTTCTCTGCCCTTCTTCCCAGCATTCCCTCTGCACCCGAAGTCCTACCTAGCTATTGGCCATTTAGTTTTTTATTAAACCAATCCAAGTGACAAATTTTCACAGTGTACAAAAAGATTATTCCACAACAGGTAAGTGGATCATGGGAGGCTCCAGAGCCAGCCAGTCTAACCAAAGTAGTAAACTCCAGGTTCAATAAGAGATTATCTCCAAATACGATGTTCGAAACAGTAGAGAAAGGCACCCATTACACACATACATACACCAAATGCACATGTGTACACACAAATAAGAATAACAATAAGAGGGTTAGAGAGATGGTTCAGAAGTTAAGAACACTGGTTGTTTTTTCCGGAAATCCTGAGTTCAGTTCCCGGCAAACATACAGTGGCTCACAACCATCTATAATGGCATCTCTGTCGTGCAGGTACACAGGCATGCAGAACAATATATACATAATAAATAAATAAGTCTTTTAAAAGAGAACAACAATAAAAGCTAGAGATGTCTAAGAGCCCAGTAGTTAAGGTCTCATACTGCTCTTCCAGAAGACCTAAGTGCTGTTCCAACCACCTATGTCAGAAGGTTCATACCAGTCTGTAACTCTAGCTCCAGAAGATCTGAACCCTCTTCTGGACTTCCTGGGAATCTGTATTCACATGTGCATTTGTAAAAACACAAACACACACACACAATTAAAAATAAATCTTAAATAATAATAGTATTTAGGATCAATTGTGGTTGAAAGAATTAAATGGGATAATATGCATTCGATGCTTTAAAAATTTTCAAGCATAAATGGTTGCTATTATTATTATTGCTAGCAGACTAGTCACCATGTGGATTCAGGTTCAGAAAAGC